ACACACACACACACACACTTGTGTCTTGCTGTGCACGCCCCAGGCCCCCGACCACAGCCGGGTCCGCCAAAATGGCCCAGAAAGGAAAAAAACACCAACCACGGGGGCCGGACAAAAGACCACAGTTAATCCCGGGTGCCGTAACCCGCGTAACGTCATTTTCAGGTAAATCGATTTTCGGCGGCGGTCCGTGAAAAGAGGCCGTTTGGTTAAAACCACTTGGAATTAATTCGGCGCCCGCCGTTGTTTGGGCCCCCCCCCCGGAGGACACGCCTCTTTCCCCTCAATGAGGGGGCCGGGGCACAAACGGCACGCTCGGGGACGAGCACCTGCGGCGCCGGCCCGGCCCAGTTCCCAAAGCCAGCCCCCTCCCCGGTCCTCGCGCGGTTAGGAGAAGCGTGGGGGGAGGGGGACCCACATTCCGACACCCTTGGCGCTTGCTGTGTGAAAGGCCCCTCCTCACAGGGCAAAGGCAGGGAGTGGCGCCCTCCTCCCTCTCCCTCCTGCCCGGCCGGCGCGCGCACATGGCCAGGAGGAGGGGGGAGGCGAGGTCGGGGGGAGGCAACAAGGAGGAGAGAGAGTGAAGGCGATTTTTATATTGTTACAGAGGGGGGGGGGGGCGGTGCGCAACTTGCACATGGCGCCCCGCTCTCGTAGAGCGGCCCGCCACACGAGCGGGGACCTATCCGGCTCAAGAGTGGCGGGGGGGGGGGGGGGGAATGCTCACACGAAAAAGGTCCACCAGGACCCGGAAGGACATATTTGAAGAGGAGGATGGGCGGGGCGCGCGGGAGGCGGGCGCAAAAGGAGCGTCGGAGGCCTCGGGTGGGGCGCTGCCAGGAGGCAGCGGGTGGGCTTCTCGCAGGCCGGGGCGCGGACCGCCGGCCGAGGCCGAGGCCGAAGCGCAACTTGCCGCGACTGGTGGGCAATGCTGTGTGGCGCATGGCGGACTCGCGGGCTGGGGGAGAAGAGGAGGCACACGGGGGCATGTGGGCTTGCGTGTGTGTGCGTACGTGGGCGCCCGCAAAGGAGGCCGCCCATTCAGACGCTCATGAGAGGTTGGGGAAGCGGTGGTAGTCGATCTTCGCCTCGGTGGAGAGGAGGATATCCGACCCGCGGAGCTTTTTCCCCATGGTGTAGAAGGCGCCGGCAGTGACCACGCCCAGGAGGGCGAAGATGGGCAGGGCCGCGGGCTCACGCCAGTGGCGGAGGTTGGAGGCGACGGCCGAGGAGGTGCGGGCAGCGGCAGACATGGTGTTGGGAGGGGAGGGGGGAGTTTCTTGCGTGTTGTAGGGGGGGGGGGATGCTTGAGCTGAGGGGTTGTTCTGTTGGCCCTGCTGGGAAGATTGCCCAGGCAGGGGGTCCTTTTATACCCGCACACAGGGCGCGGCCTGGGCCTGAGGCTCCGGGGAGGGGGGGGGGCCTAGCTCACGGAGGCGCGTGCCCTCTTTCAGGCGTGCCTCGCCGCGGACACGGCACGCCCCTGTTCGCCCTCCGCCCCCCCCCCCCCCCCCCCCCCCCCCTCCCTCTGGCCTCGGTGGCGGGGGGAGCGTCGCCGCGAGCCGGCAAGCGGCCGGCTTGCCGATCGCCGGCTCACGGCCCCGGCGCCGCCCTCCGTCCCCGCCTGCCCTGCCATTCGAGGACGCGGGGATGGCCGAACGGGAGGCTTCCGGGCCATTCTCGCTCGGCGAGCCCGGCAAGTGGGGCCGGCTCGGGGCAGCGACGTGAGACCCTCTCTCGTGCCCGGTGTCGATGGCATGGCGCACATCGCCGCCGGCTCCGGGCCCAGGGCCGGCAAGCGGTCAGGCGGGCCCCGCAGGGGGGCCGGGGCCGGAGGAAAGCCGGCCGGATTCCTCCCCTCCTCGCCCGTGCTGACCTTCCCTCGCGTCCGGGTCCCCGAGCGCCGAGTCAAGATGCCAGGTGCTGCCATCCCCCCGGCCCGATTGTTTGGACGGAATAAAAAAGATCCAAAGAAAACAACGGCCCCCTCTAAGAACAGGGCGCGGAGATCTGTTGTCCCCCCCCCCCCC